TTATTCTGCAGTCTTTCTCTCTCTCTCTTTATAATATAAATTTATATATATATATATATATATATATATATATATATATATATATATATATAATTTATAGTTTTCAGTCATTTAAAAATGTAAAATTCATCATTAGCTCACTGGCTGTACAAAAACAGGTAGCTGTTTATAGTCTGCCGGATTTGGCCCATGGGCTGTAGTTTGTCATCCCTGACCAGGGGCCCAGCTTTCCTTCAGCCCCTGCCTATCCCTTTCCCCTCTATTTATATAAACCTACAAAATTAGTGCTCTTTAGCAAAGCAGCCCTTTTGCTTCTTTAGATCTCTGATGCCCAGTCTCTATTTCTTTCCCATTGGTACCGAAAGTCCAAAAGAATAAAGGGGTCAGGGAAGACACAGAGCATGGCCTGAAGAAAGGGCACAAGTCCCTCTTATGTTGCTTTCAGCTTTCTGATCTTCAAGTAACAAACCATCTAAACGTCCATTTCACCATCTATAAAAAAAAGGATCATGGTATCCAACCACGTGAAAGTATTTCTGAAGGTGTGATTTTATATTGAGAAAGCTAGGTAGAGCAGAAAATATAACTTCTGGAGAAGAACTGCCAACAACTGGACTTCCCTGGTGGCACAGTGGTTGAGAATATGCCTGCCAATGCAGGGGACGCAGGTTCAATCCCTAGTCCAGGAAGATCCCACATGCCGTGGAGCAACTAAGGCCGTGCACCACAACTCTGAGCCTGCGCTCTAGAGCCCACGAGCCACAACTACTGAGCCCACACGCTGCAACTACTAAAGCCCACACACCTGGAGCCCGTGCTCTGCAACAAGAGAAGCCACCGCAATGAGAAGCCCGCGCACCGCAGTGAACAGTAACCCCCGCTCACCACGACAAGAGAAAGTCCTCACGCAGAAACGAAGACCCAACACAGCCAAGGAAACAAAAAAAAGAGTTGCCAACAACTTGTTCAGAAACAAAGCCTTGCCTGATGTTTCATGGGTAAGTTCCTTGATCATGGTAGTGCATGGGTCCCCGGGTAGAGAAAGGAAACTCAGTGAACTTAGTTAAAACCCTAGGAAAAGGAGCAGCTAGAAATCTCATTGACTGCATGCCACTTTTCATAATTCTCCGAGGTGGCCAGAAACTCAACAAACATAAACTGAGAATCTTCTTTGTGTTAAAAGAACAGGGAAGGTACTGTGAGGGGCACAAAAATGAATAAGCCTCAGTCCTTTACTCCAAAAAATTTAATTTATTAAACATGAACATCTATCATACAAAGCAGATATGACTGTATAAACCAACTGCATTAAGAAGTCAGAAAGAGAGCCAAACAAAAGGTAGGATGGAGAAGAATTTCTTAGGAGCTAGATATAAACAAAGAATATAATTTCAAGGAGAACAGACAGAAGTAGAAATTTGAGAGACCTGTACATGTGTATCTAGGATGGCAGAATATGCGGATTCTCAATTCCACTAGACATTAGTAAATTGTTCTCCAAAGGTGTTGTGCTTCCTGAGACTTCTCACCCTCACAACAGTTGGTATGATCAGAGTTTATTTTTCTACAGAGTTTATTTTTCTATTTTCAATGTGATGGGTAGAAAAGGTTATCTCAGTTTAATTTTCATTTCTGGTCCTCACATTCTCTAGAATTGCTTTGTATGTCTATTTTTACATGAACAAAAGGCAGAGACTGGTCGTTCTGTGTGGCTGGAGCCCAGGACACAGAAAGTACACAAAGGACAAGCCTCCCTCTCTTCTTCTCGAGGTTTTTCCAGGACCTTGGTTTTTTCCTCTCCACCCCGTAAATTGTCAGTTTGCATCAGCAGATAGGGACAGACCTTTCCCTTCCTCCTTGAATGTGCCAGGGTAAATTAAAGAGTTTATAAATGAACATGGTTGAAAAATACTGGTCTTGACAGAAACATCTGAAACCATTTCCTCCATTTTTGTGCAAAACTTGGTTTCTGCCCAATTTAGATCATGGAATAGGCAAGGTACCTTAGAAAACACACCAAATGTTGACCTAGGTCTGGAGACTTAGTTACAAATTCTTGGCAGGAAATACACCTTCTCTCATTGAGAAGGAAAAAAGTGTAGGAAACATAAATCAGGGTATGAACTTGATTTGTTGACGCTCGTTAGGAGGGTTTTGCCTCGAAAGCTCCCATGGAGATAAAAGTTTAAGGCAAAATTCCTGTAAATGATTCTAGGAGAAAATGATTGTTTTTAACCAAATTCTTATTTAGAGTCTTTCCATGCTGAGAATAAAGTGGCAACTGAAAAGGAATGAATGCAGTACACAGTAGAACTCTCAGTAAAGAGAACAAAAAGCAGTGTTCTCAACGCTGGTTAATGCACAGCATCAAAGCTAGGAAAAACTATATTTCAAAAATTGATTAATGTAATGTGATTCAAACAACACATTCCTTACTACAGTGGAAAAATGGAAAAATCATTATAAATATTTGTTTCTAAAAAAGAGTAGCCATTATCATTCCAGTACACTATAATGCCATATTGCCTCAAATACACATAGATTTGTCTAATCCAGTGATTTCCAACCCTGGGCAATTTTGTCCCTCAGGAGACATATGGCCATTTTTCATTTTGAGACATATTTCATTTTCACTCCTGGAGGAGGGTGCTCCTGGCATCTAGTGGGTAGAGGCCAAGGATGCTGCTAAACATAGTAAAATGCACTAGATAGTCTCCCACAATAAATAATTATCTAGCTCAAAATGTAAATACAGCCACAAAACCCTGGTCTAATCTATTTCTTCATGTTTAGCTGGGACATGGTGACAAAAATAGCGGGTTAGAGATGATAAGCACTCTTCTTAAAGACCTCCTATTAAGCAAGCTAGATAACTAGAGTTCTAAAGTTTGCTTGATATTTACATAGATAAGTTTGCAATTTAGCAATTTTCAGTTGTAATAGAGAGGAAATGGAACATAATCCATGATTCTCCCCATGTTATCAAGCACTGTACCATCTATATTTATTAGCTTATCCCATCTACCTATACACAGCTCATAATCAAACCGACTACTGCTGGCTCCATCTATGACAAATCAATATTTTTCTGCATTTAGATGATATCCGAATTCCCCATGCCCACCCACCAAAATCAGTCCTCAGTTGTCAGCAGTGGGTTTTCTGTGGTCATTTTCTGAGAAAAGCATTCATATCTGAAATTCCCTTCTCTGATGTTACAATCCATTAAAACTTCACTGTCCAGCTCCATGAAACTTAAAAGTCAGATTAGGAAAGAAAGATAATTTTGAATGTAAACCTAAACGCAGCCACAAAGAGATGTCTTCTATAAAAAGTAAGGGGTGTTGATAATGAAGTGAAATAAAATATACAAAGGCTGAAGAGGTCCCTCTAAAAGTGGCAAAGTCCTTAGAGGTTATTTTATTTCCCAGTAAGTTTCCTTGGGTGTTTCAACAAAGAAAGTCATTTTTCTGGGAATTTTTTTTTAATGTCTCCTTTTCCAGGTTTGCTGAAGGCATTTTCTTGTCTATTTTCTAGATGTTACAGTAAAAGATAACTTTAAAATAATGAAAAAAATTCAGTTCAAATTTAAAGAAACCACAAAGGGTTGAGAAACTCATTTTGAAGCCATCACATATATCTTAGAGAAAGAAAAGTATACTGTAACTGACAAAAATCTATCCAAATGCTGAAGTTTCTCAAACTAACAAAGCAAGTACTGTTTGGCAGGAATGTAGAAAGATGGGCAACTTAGTCCACTGAAGTTTTCTGAAACAAACCCTAGGAAACAAACCCTAGGAAAGGTTTGTTTCAGATGAAAACAAAAGTATTGCTTACATGGATTTGACTGGGTTCTACAGCAAATGTCAACTTCTGAATGTAAACCTAAAATAGAAATTTCTGCCCTTGTGCTTAAGTCAAGTTCAAGCAGAAAAGTGCCCTATTTACTCCCCCCCCCAAAAAAAATGACAGAATGATTTTAATTTTTAAACAAAAGTGGTACAGCAGAAGGACATTTAAATGCAAGATCTAATTTCAGAGAGCACAGAGTTAGAGCACAAAAGTGGAACACTCCAAGGATATCGCATGTGCAGCAAATGGCAGCAAAGTATGTTTCGACAAACATGTGGTGAGGCTCCCTTTAATCGTGCTAAATGTAAAAAGTTTTATTTTACATGAACTTGACTATTTGCTGCAGTTCCAGCTTCTGAAAACAAGGAAGGGCACCAGGCTTACGAACAGGGTGGCTAAGCGGAAAAGCTGTGGACAGCTTCCCCTCCATAATCCCCAAAGAGGAAAGCTACCTCCTGGAGGTATTGGGTAGCCAAGCAGCCTTACTGAAAACAACCACGGTTTTGAGCGTTGTTTCTGGCAGGAGGTAGGTGTTACCAGCTACTTCCTGGGGCGCTGTAAGGAATGTGTCACCATCAATCAGAAAGTACACTAGCCCAGTGTTTAGGTCACAGAGGGAGTACTGCTTCGTCCAAAACGGATAAATCACGCCAACTCCAGCAAAGGAGGAGAAAGCAAAGTTGCAGGAAAGGTGTTGGTGCCCACCGACCTGCAAGACCAAAAGGAAACCCCAACTCGTGCTGAAGAAAACTTCGTGCGCTCTCGGGTTACGGAGAACTCCGAGAGCCCACGAGGGCGGATGCTCCCACACTGCCCCGGGGATCAGCACAGCCCGAGCGCAGTTCTGGGGAAGACCTGGGCGGTCCTGGGGAGGATGGACAGCCCACCCCCACTCACCTCGGTGGTCCTGCGGAAGGACAGGCTCCCACCAAATCACCTCTGTGGACCTGGGAGGGGCGGGCGCCCCCCTCCACCAACTCACCCGGCCGACCCCACGCGAAGGACCGGTGGATGAATGAACTGCCCATCCGGCCTAGCCTCGCGGGACAGGGCGGCCCGCGGGAGTGCTCACCTGTGGGGATGCTGGAGGACTTCCCCGAGTCTGCACCCAGGCAGGGGTCCCAGGGCTGGAGGAAGAGCGCCAGCAGCAGCAGCAGCAGCCGCGGCTGCACCGCGCACCGCCCCATCTTCGGCCCGTCGAGGGCCCGCGCGGGCTCCGGCGCCCCTGACGCCCTGCAGCGGCCCACTTCTCGCGAGATTGGGGACCCCTGATCCGCCCCGGGCCGACGAAGGCGAGCGGAGGCGGCCAGGCAGAGTGGGCGCAGGGTACCCGCAGCCGGCAGGTCAAGCGGCGTGGAGAGGGGCGGGAGTCTGGTGGTCTGGAAGGCGCAGAGCGGCGGGCGCCTGCGGCGCCGCGGGCGACTTATAGGCTCCCCGAGGGGGAGGCGACGGGGCGGGCCGCGCCCCGGCTATTGGCCGCCGGCTGACCCGCCGCGCTGCTGAGTGCACCGTGCGGTTGCCTGCGCTCGCCTGCCTGCGCGCCTGTCCCAGCCCCACGTCTGGGATTGTTTGCTCAACTATTTAAGGAGCCGTCTGCCGCTACGTGTGGAGGCTCACGCAGGGCTTCTGGCTGGAACCCGGAAGCGTGCAGTTAAGTTTGGGAGTGGGCCCGAGACAGGGGGAGGAGACGCTGGGAGTCTGGCCGACGGGCGGCGCTCCCCGCTCCCTCCTCTCGGCTTCCCCAGCGCCCTGAGCTTCCCAGTAGCCTCTAAGGGTGCGAATCTGCTCTTCTCTACATTTAGATGCTACCCCCAGAGCAGAAGCGAGGTCAAATCCACAGCAATCCTGGTTGAATGGGACCTCGCCCGACAATGAACGATGGAAATGTAGACACATCCCGCACCCCCCCGTTAACTCAGGGGCAAATTTCTAAACTCTGTAAAAGGAATGCCCTGTTTTTAGTTTACTCTATAAACAGAAAGTTTTTATTGTCCATTGATCATTTCTTCCTCCTCTGCCTGTGCCAGGAGAGCCTTAGACTCTCTCCAGTAATGGCTTGTAAATCCTGCGGAATCCGAGTCCAGCATGTGTAACCCGGGGCTTTTCCTTACAAGATCTTCCTTCAGTCTACATGGAAAATTACTCCCAGGGATGCTGTCAGAGCGAGCGATCTCTCAGCTCCCTGGCGCGTCCTCCCCTGCTTCCAGTTTTGACTCATGTCTGAGAAAATTCCTTTTAATATATTACTTCTCAGCACATTTTAGCTAGCCCAGTGTTTAATCTGTTGGGATGAGCAGGGGCAAAAGCACAAATTAAGGCCAAAGCCTGACAATCTGCCTCGTATATTTCACGACACGAGCTATCCTATGGGAGAAAAAAATCATACTGTTAGTATGGCAGTATTCTATAATGTTCTACCTCTATCTTCCTAAAATGCGGGGGGGGGGGGGGGGGGGGGGG